CGCAGCGGGAAGAGCAGCTCCTCGTTGGGCGCCAGCCTCACGCTGCAGTCGATGGCTACGACGTCGGCGTTGCTGTGGTTCTGCACGGGGGCAAGCGCCGCTGCACGGAGCCGGCCCCGGCGTCCCGGCGGAGGGAAAGCTCCGCATCCAAAGGGAGCCGCAGGGATTGGGCTGGGATGGAAGCCTCGGCGCGGGAGCGGGGCCGCGCTGGGGCTGCAGCTGCACTTTGGGCTGCCCCTCGGGCCTGGCGTTTGCTCCCCCCTACCCTTCCTGCCCCCCTGCTCCCTATTGGGAGACTACTGAGGGGAACAGGATTCCGTGGGCCTGGGGCTATTGCTTCCCCTTGCATTCTCCAGCTGTGCATCCCGGCCAGCTGAGTGACCCCTGCCAGATGCGCATCCCCCCACCAGCTGTGTCCCCCTGCCACCTGCGTGTCCCCCGCAGCCGTGTTCCCAGCTGTGCCCCCCGCCAGGATCGGGTCCTGCCGCCGGTACCAGGTGGGGGGTCCGGGTCAGGTCCTCCTCGGCCGGTGCCCTCCGATAGTCCGTGCTGTTTCCCCACACGTTGCAGGTCGCGTTTTCCTTGGGGGGAAGCGGGGGGCTCAGCCTGGCTGCCCACAGCTTCTCTGGGAGCCGGTGGGGCTGGAGGACCCCTCGGCCCAGCTCCCAACACCCGATTCCCTCCCAGCCCTTTGGAATTCCCTAAGTGCCAGCGGGAGCTCTGCGAGTGCCCAGGACCAATCCCCGTCTGCTCCCGTTTTCCATGTGTGCTGCCAAGCGAGAGCAGAAACCCCAGGACAGTGGCCAGCACCAAGGCTAGGAGAGGAGTATCCATCCATGCATCCATCCGCCCATCCTTCCATCCATCCCCTCATCCGCCCAGGTGTGGGAATTGCACGGGGAGAGGAGCCGCCCCCGGCAGCCCCTTCCTACCTGCTCGGCCGCGAAGTCCGTGAGCAGCAGCAGGCGGTTCCCGGCCCGCGTGGCCACGGGCACCGTGAACTTGACGGTGACGCCGTCCACGGGGAAGAAGCCCAAGTTCTGCAGCTGGAGCGGCGGGGGGGTTTTGCGCGGTCCCCCCGCGCCGCCCGTCCCCGTGTCCCCCGTGTCCCCCTTACCTTGAAGGTGCAGTGGAAGGGCGGGCCGGGGCCGTAGCGCTCCAGGGAGCTGTTGGCCTTGATCTCGTAGTAGCCCAGGCTTGATGTCCTGCCGTGGGAGAGCGCAGCGAGTTTCAGCGGCGCTGACGGAGCGCCAGCCCGGGGAATTAATGGGGAAAACAGGAGCATTTTCACCTTGCTCCCCATTACATAGTTTTTCTCCCATCTTTCATGCATTAGAGACACCCAAGGCCTTGTTTAATGTCATGTGTAGGGCTAATTAAGGGAATCCCATTTACATGTAGCAGCTGGAGAGGAGGGGAAGGAGCCAGGAGCATCCGACCTGTGGGCATCCCAATGGGAAGCGCTGGCACTGCTCTGTGCACGGCTGGAAAAACCCACGCGCCCCACAGGGCTTCCTCCCTCTGTGCTCCCAGGAGACCCAAACATGGTTTTTTTTGTTATTTTTCTTCCTTTTCTGAGCAGGTCAATTCAGATGTTCCTCAAAGCAGAGCAACCTCCCCCTCCATCAATTGCAGGCAGGTAGAAAGCAGAGGATGAGCCTGTCCCCTTGGGATGCCCCAAGAAGACACCCCAAACCCTTGGTGCTCCCTTTGGGACCCCAGGGCCACCTTGTCTCTATTGTCCCCATCCCCCTGGACCGGCACCAGCACCGACCTGGTGAAGAGCAGGTCGGCTTCGTACTTGAGGTTGTACTTGAGGAGGGCGACGTTGTCCTCCGTGGTGCTCTCGTCCTCCTCGCTGTCACTGCAAGCGAGCGGCAGCGGGGTCAGCTCAGCCCCCGCCGCAAAAAGTTTGGGAAAAAGGGCAAAAAATGCATACACAGAACAGCATTTGCAGGCAAGCAGGGCAAATTCCCTGGTGAGGAGGGTTTTGCAAGGGTGTTAGGAGACTTTTTTTGCTGGGAAGGGGCTAAATAAGAGAGCTGAGACTGAAGCACTTCCCATCCAGCACCAGGGGCTGGTGGCTACAGAGCAGTCTTTCTGTATTTGCAGAAAAAGTGTAAATGTAGATAAATAAACATAGCCTGGCTTCCAAATTCATTGCTGCCTGCTCTGCAGTAACCCAAGGCCATCTAGTTTCCACGCAGCGATTCCCTGCGGATGCCTCTGGAGCAAGGCTGCTTCCCTAAACATGCAGCTATCGGAGCTGGAAAACCCGGATCGCAGCAAGGCCAAAGGGAGCAGCAGCCGCTCCGTTGTCCCCAGACTTGCTCCAGGGAAAGGGCTCGGGCTGCAGTGGGCAGGAACAAGCGGCAAAAGCAGCAGGATGCAGCGGAAAGGGAGCGGAGGGAAGATGCAGCCGTTAACCTGGTGGCAGACAGGGAGATCTCCATGCTCTGAAGGAAAACCGACTTGCTGAACTCAAAATCCAGGCGAAACGCCACCTGTGGAGATGAAGAACGGGTTGGGGAGAAAAATAGGGAAAAAAAGAGCGTGCTCTGCCCTCGCAACCAGGCAGTGCCATGGAATGTGATGGGAAAAAACAGGGATGTGGGGGAAGAAAAGCAGCAGGGTGTCTCCTCCACCAGCACGTTGCATTTTCGGTTTTTAAGCCGGAGAGCAAAAGCAGCCCCGTTAAGAGCAAAAACCCCTGGGCTCTTGCAGTGAGCGGGTCGGCTGGCAGGGGAGGCCAGGGAGGCCAACAGCAATAAAATGTGATAAATGTCACATCTGCGAGTGCCGTGGCAATGACCTCAAACTGTCTGGGGCTGCACAGCTGATTATAATATTAAAGCTCCTGCTGCTCTCGAGCCAAATTTCCATTTCCAGCTTGTCTTTGTTTTGGCAGGACCTGGGCTACCTGATGCCATGCAGATGCATTCCCAGCCCTTGTAGATCATGGGGAATCAGGCTGCTCCGCTTTTGTCTGCAGCCACAAGCATCCGAGACGGCTTTTTTGGGAGCTTTATCCTCTAGAGAGGAGCCCGGAGCGCATCCGTCATTTTCAAGCTTCTGACAAGCAGAGGCTTCAGACTGATATATGGGTTTGTGCCTAGGAAAGGTTTGATCCTGAGCTGCTCGCTTGTATCACACCGCTTCCCTGCGGTGTTTAGGGTGGTATTTAGGAAGGGAGGTGTTGGGGTTTGTGTTTGGCAAGTTAGAGAAATGCAAATTGAAAAGGAAAGGGGGAAAAACAATCTGGATTTTGGAGGTCAGGAAGTTGCAGCTGCAACTGGGCTTCGGCTTGGGGTCACACTTGGGTCTTGCAAACGCCAGTGGTGCTGGTCCAGCTCCTGCACCAGCCCGAGGAGCTGCTAATCCAAGTGTCCCAGGCTCTGGAGCAAGCCCTTTGGGGCAGGATTCTCTATTCCCCACTGGAGGGAGGCTCGGGTTTCCCTGGTCTATTCTGCATCAGTCGATATTAGGTGTGAGAGGAGGCCGAGGTCCCAGTGCAGCCGCATGTGACAGTCTCCTGCTTTCCCCCTGCTTGCATTAACACCACCCGCGACGTTTGCCCAGCACCCGGTGCTCCGGAGCCAAAATGGTTCCGCTGGCATTTAAAAAATGGCACTAATTGAGCTGGGCTTTATGCCAAGTCTGCAAAACCCTGCAAGCCTGGCTGGTGCAGGGGACCCGAGGGGGCTCGGGCAGGTCTGGAGGAGAATCCAAGCAGAGCAAGGAAAACAGGAGCAAGGAAAACAGCAGCAAGGAAAACAGGAGTGTTCCCCACAGTGCACGGGGACTTATTCTGCAAGGCAAGCCTGGCCATAAGTCCCGGCAGCGGCGCAGAGCTGACATTAAAGCGCTCTGAAGGATTAGCATCAAATTCCTTGACTCCGAGGAGCTGGTTTTGATTTGGCAGCCTGAAGGTCTCCTAGAATTCAAGGCAGCTTTAAGGAAACATCTCAGCCCTCCAAGGCCTCCTAACACTTCTTGCAAAAGATGGCAACTTTGGGAAAAAAGGGAAGACATTTCAAATATGTTTAAAAATCCCATTCCAGCCCCACTGCAGCCCAGCCCTGTGGGAGGAAAGGGCTTTACCTTGGCCTTGGCTCGGAAGAAGGGGTAGCTCACGTTGCACACCTTCGTGTTGGGGAGCTTCTCATCGGTCATGCACTCGATGTTGACGTCGCTGTCGTCCTGAAACAAGGGGCAAAAAAACTATCTTTGCTGCAGGTGACAAATCTTTCCCATGCGGCTTATTTCTAGGGCCTTGATTCCTTAATTTCTGGGGCCTTTCCTAGGGCCATTCCCAGAAAGGAGCATTTCTAGCAAGCAGCCTCAAGCACACCAATTGAAATCCCGTTTAGAAACTTAATGAGAGCGACGAATGAAGAAGACCCAATAAAACTGATTATTCTTGGCACAGCAATCGTAATGAAGAACATCTTTCTCCAAGCAGGAGTCACAGGGAAGTATCAAGAAATATCACAAGATATTATTCTACATAGTCATCAGCTAAGGAGCAATATTTAATTTCCTTGTCCTGACAGTTATTTCTGCAGCGAGTTTCCAGCTGGGCTGAGGAAACTTGTAGCCCGCTGCAAAGCACAAAAAAAAGGGACTGGTATTTGGCTCTGGCACAACCTTCCATCCCCTTTTGTAGCCAAATTGCTTATTTATAGGCAGCAGCAGCCACTGACACACGAGCAGGTTTTTATAAGGGAAATATCAGTGCAGGAAGGAGCATCCCCACCCGCAGGATGCCTGTGATTGCAGAAAAGGGGAGCACGGTCCCAAAATGCAGCTGTGCCTGTGCATAAAACTGTCTCCTGGGAAGATTTCTGGTCTCCTCCAGGCTGGACCCGTCCCTGGGGCCCCAAAGGAGCCAGGGGACGGCCGGCACGGAGCGATGGTCGCGCTCCCAATATCAGCCCACACTTCCAAGAGTTATAACTCGGCTGCAGAAATCCCTCCCTGACAGGAATCTGGCTGTACACAGCAAGTATTTTTAAGCCACAGGAGCAAAAAAAAATAGGATGGGAGAATTTCATCCACATTGGAGGGTAAGAAAATAAAACAGGAAATAATTTCCTCCGTGCTTGACCTCATTGCAAGCTTTTAAAAGTAAAATATTTCTGCGTCTCCAAGCTGAGGACCTCGTAAATGCTTAGAAACTAACACCATAAATACACCTAAATTATGAGGTCTAAGGAAGTCATTGGTCTCTGTTTTAGAACTCTGCTTTTGCATCCGGCTGGGCCATGGATCTCCCTAAGCAAAGTTGGGATAGAAAATATGAAGGTTTTTTCTTGCTCCCTCCTCAAGCTTTTCCTCCCTGCAGGGTGAGGATTTATTGCCCTTGCTGTTTTTTATGATCCTTGCAGAAGGGGGACGCACTCTGCTGCTTCAACCAAGGAAAACCGCCCTCCCGTTGGAGCTCGGCCATATGCTGCTCTGCAAGGTGCCTCCTTGCACCGTGCAACCTCCCCGATGCCACCTCGAGCACCTTCAGGACCTGCTGGTCCCCTCCTCCAGGCTGCCAAGGGAGCCACCACCAGCCTCATCACCCCAACTTGGTCCTCGACACGACTGTCCCCATCCCATCCCCATCCCCACGATTGGCCCCATCTCATCCCCATCCCCACGATTGGCCCCATCTCATCCCCATCCCCACGATTGGCCCCATCTCATCCCCATCCCCACGATTGGCCCCATCTCATCCCCATCCCCACGATTGGCCCCATCTCATCCCCATCCCCACGATTGGCCCCATCTCATCCCCATCCCCACGATTGGCCCCATCTCATCCCTGTCCCCACGACTGTCCCCATCCCATCGCCATACCCACGAGTGTCCCCATCCCATCCCCATCCCCACGCTTGTCCCCATCTCATCCGTGTACCCACGACTGTCCCCATCCCCATATCCATGACTCTCCCCATCCCATCCCCATCCCCACGATTGTCCCCATCTCATCCCTGTACCCACGACTGTCCCCAGCCCC